GTAAAACAGGTCCTCATCTATTAAAGATAAAGCTTGGGCAGTAAATCCTATAAAACTGGGCCTAGAATCAGAGTAAAAATACAGCTTGTTTCTGTTAGTTTTAGCATTTGTGCTCTTAATAAGGTTTGCTGTTTTAATGACCACCACAACTGTTCTTTAAATACAATAATCCCTTATCAGGTACTTATTGAAAAAAAAAAAATGAAGGGGACTGCACATTTAGTATAAAATGAAAGTACATAGAATTAATGACGAGATAAATTTTCTTTACCTTAAAGAGAAATAAAATACTTTCAGTTACTTATCACACACTTGTTACAAGGAAAAACACCATATCAAAAATAATATGTGGTTTCATATAATTTAAACTATATGAATTACTTCTAAGAATTGTCACATTATTTTCTAAACAGCATTCTTTGATTAAAATGTAAAAAATAAATACGTTACTTGTGGGCCCACACTCAATGACACTTAATATTCTAACCTTGAAGGCCATTTTATTTAAGTTTGTGCATTAGATCTAAAAACTGTAATGGCTGCTTCACTCAGAGATGAGCACTATTTAAAATCAGGTGCTGTGTGCTGGTACTCACATCCATGGTTTGGGTAGAGGCAGAATGGGAGATGAGAGTCCCTCGATGCCAATAGCAATGAACAGGAATCCAAGGTAACATGGGGGCAAAGTCACAAAGAAACAGCTCAGCTCAGCAGGACAGGAAACAAAAATAAAGGCTTATCCATTATATTCACCTCTTTCAGGGCACATAAGTTTTTCAGGACCAGGAGTAGTCGACGTTTACTACAAAACTTAACTGCTCCCCACACCAGCGGCCTCCTCTCTCAGCTCTGTCCATGTCTGACAGAAGCATCAGTGACATCATCAGCATCAGTGACATCATCAGCATGTACTTAGAAAAAGTTACATGTACTTACCACCTGATCAGACTGAAACACTTCCTACCACCGCAAGGTTTCCCTGGTCCAGCCCTTCAGGGATAAAGAACGGATGAACAGGTCCGGCCCATCTGCGTGTCCTGGACCAGTCATATCCCTTTTGAAGACCCTCTATCCGTCACCACCACTGGTCCAGCCAACAGAGAACCCTAAAGCACGACCACGAAACAGGCAAGTAGTGAGGGAAAATCAGTTTACTCAGTCCAAAAACAGGCAGGATATAAACCAGGAGATCTGTCGTATAGGCAAACTAATCTGAAAAGGGGCAGACAGGAATCCAAAGTGCGAGGAGCCAAACGTGAGGTCAATACAAGAAGGCAGAACAAGAGAATGCAGGAAAGCTTGGCACAGAATAACACAAGACAATCTGGCAGGGAACTAGTGGAACTGGAGTGGTATAAATACTGAATGACCAAATGAGCTAATGAGCAGCAGGTGAGTAGATGGGTGTAGAGAACCAGGTGAGGGGGAATAAGTGATTGCATGAAAGGGAAGGGCCGGACCTGAAATGACATGAATATTAGTGACCAAAACAACAAAAAAGAACTAAGTGCTAGAGTAACTCCGTTACACTATCCGAGGTAACAAGAGTCTCCTCCAGAAATAACCAGGACCAGCCATGTCAGAGCTTTGTATCATTAGCACCACTAGCATCATAAGCACCACCAGTGTAGCGTGGTTGAATCTGCGTTGTGTCTTTTTCATAAATAATAGCCGGACAACAGCTGTTCTGATGGCACTTTTAATGCTCCTGCATTCAAATAGAAAATAGTATTTCAGAACAGGCTTTTTCTCCACAGTGCTCCACAGCGCCTTCTCCCACGGAATCTGAACAGAAAGAGCTGCGCATGTGCGACTAAAATAACACATTTACCTTACAAAATAAAATTAATTGCAACAATAATAACTAAGCCCAAACATGAGCATAATAATCTGAAAGAGTACATGAATAAAAAGATAAAAATAAAATAACCAAAAATAATTAAACATCACATACCTGCATTCAAATAGAAAATAGTATTTCAGAACAGGCTTTTTCTCCACAGTGCTCCACAGCGCCTGTTTAACCATGAACAATACTATTTTCAGCACATGGATGTAGCATTTTTATTAGCAATGTCTCATTAGCCTATGAGCATCAAAATAGCTGCTAACGCAATTCTATCAGCGTTTAACGGGATTCGAGTGCTCAAAAGCACATTATTTTACAAGAATAAAAATCAAATGGTCAATTATTATCCTTAAAAATATTTATCGAACACAGAAAACAAAACTTCATACCTTCTCCCACGGAATCTGAACAGAAAGAGCACAACGAGTGCCCTTAACAGATTATAATGGTATGACCCGTTAACTTGTCTTTTAAAATCCCGAACTAACACTCAAAACAATGAACTCAATATATTCAACAGTAAAGATGATAATTTGCATTTTCATCTGCAACACATTAAATTTTAATAAAAATAATAATTCTGCAACAGGAAGTTACCTGCTGTTCTGCAATGGATTTGCTGAATTTTCACAATAAAAGCTGCAAGTGCTCATATAATTTCATACCGGAATAGCTTCTCTTTTTACAATCTAGTGTAATAACATCACACTGCTACACCAGCATAATTAATTTCACATCAATAGCATCATCTACACATGTTGCATCACTACTAACATCAGAATTACCAGCTTCATCGCAGCCACCAAAATCCTTAGCATCATTATCATCAACATCATTACTATCATTATCATCAACTTCATTAGCATCATTACTATCATTATCATCAACATCATTAGCATTGGCAGCAGTAGCATCAATAACATGACCAGAATAATTAACATCAGTAGTATCATTATTAGCATAAGTAGCATCATCAAGTAGCACCAGCATGTTGTACTCAGAAAAGGTTACATGTACTTACCATCTGATAAGACCCACTTGTTAACACTGCAAGGTTCCCAATGTTCCAGCCAATCAGAGATGAAGAATGGATCAACAGGTGGGGCCCATCTGTGCGTCCTGGAGCTGTTCCCTCCAAAAACCCTCTTCTCCTCTGAATCTTGAAATTATCATCTTCAAAACAGTATTCTTGAATTAATTCAAAACTCAACATGTTACCTTTGTGCCCTCACACAATATGACTTTGAATCCAAGCTGACCGCAATGACGTAGACTCCAAGCTAACCCGGGAAATGGCGCGCAAAGTCACAATGAAGAAGCACAGCTCAGGACAGGACTGACCCTCAAAACACTTCACTGTCTCTTGTGACCGTATCCCTTTTAAAAAATCCAAATTGAGCCAAGGTATCGAACACTATCTCATTTTGAATTAACATTAACTTGCTTTGGCTTCAGAAATATCACTATGCTAAAGCTATAATATACAGGCCCAATAGCACCGAATGCTACCTCCAATTAGCAAGTCGCTAACCGTCTTACACATTCAGTTTCCTTAAACTATGACAGCTCGAGAATAAAATACAGGCATATACTTCATATCCACCTCGTGCAGGTCACACAAATGTTTAGCAGGACCAACAGTGGTTGACATCCACGATAAAACTTACTTGCTCCGCGTCTCTCTCTCGTCTTTGGCGTCTGATCTTCGCGCTCCTTTCTCCTCTCACCACCTGCCCACTAAGCCCGCCCCTTCCCACAGACTTCACTGTGATTGGCTCGGGAATTTTAACAGCCAAAGGCAAAATAGGAATAACATGATTGACACGTGTCAGGTAACAGGTTAGATTAGGCATGTAGATACAGATATTTCAAGATTTAACGAATTTTTTATTGATTTATCTCACACTTGTAAATCGTCTTTTTTTTTACTTTACTGATCAAATTTATACTTTTAACCAGCAAACGATTTATTCATTTTTAAATATTATGAACTCTACCTATTCATTATGTTTTTTAATGTAGCATTTTGTTACTCTGTCAGAATTACACTGTTTTTTTTCTGTAGCTAATGATTTTTAGAAAATTCTGATTTAACCCAAAAAGAATACAGGATATAGTTTGGATCCCTTTAGTGTCCCGATTTTGACTGCGTCAGGGTTTTTATTTGCCTTTACATGTTAGCTATTGTATACCTTTAATTGAGTGTATGTGCTACAGTCTGTAAACTTGTCTCTCTTACACTCACTTTCTGTCAGAATTAGAAATGTATTTTTATTATTTTGTAGTCATTTCAAAATATGTTTTAGAACATTTCTAAATCTTTCAGTATTTTTTAAGGAATAAAAAGAGTCGTGTTTGACCGGAAGGAAGGAGTCCCTATATCACATGACCGTAGTTCAGGGTGTCAGGTGACCAAACAGGAAGCGATGAGCCATCCGGGTTTCGGCTGGATGGCGGATTAAAACTTGGCTGTTTAGCTGATGTTCACGTTGAAAGAAACCGCGCGAGGGAAGGTAAGAGCTGCTAAAACGTGATTGTTTGGATTGACCGACAGGTAATAACATATCTGCGCGTTTACAAGGTGCTGGGTGGAAAAACAAGAAGAGCAAAATGGAGGACGGCTTCGGCATTCAAGGTCCAGCTGCTCCACATCCGTCTGATCCGAGTTGAAATCCTCTAACAAATAGCTGTGGGGTGCCTCCTGATGGAAGTCAGTGTGGGGTCTAGCGTAAAGTTCCGCAGGTCACAGTGAGTTAGGACTGAAAACATGAACCCAATATGCATGGCAGATGGAGCGTTTGATGCTCGTTGGACCATCGATGATCGGAAGTCAGGAGACTAATGGAGGCAGACTTAATATCTCCTTTAATGAGTTTTACGTGTATTCTGGTTAAGAAGTTTGGGTCATTTCTCAGATGCTGAAGATGAACTTGCATTGGTTTATAGATCATGTGAGATCTCTTTATTGAGTTATGGATTTCTGATTATTGCTCTCAGATGAAGTCATGTTTGGATTTGTGTCTCCACAGTATGGAGGATGATGAACTTCCGTCAGAGGATGGGATGGGTAGGCGTGGCCCTCTACCTGCTGCTCAGCATCCTGGCGACCTACTACATCTTTGAGGTGCACAGCCTGAGCGTGGAGCGCGTGCAGAGAGGAGGGATCAGCTCATTGGCTCTGCCTCCGGCGGTCTCCGCCCACCTGCCTCCGGCGGTCTCCGCCCACCTGCCGGCGCTGACCCTGTGGATGTGGGCGGGGCTATTCCTGCTGCCCTACCTGCAGATCTTCCTCTTCCTCTTCTCCTGCACGCGGGCCGACCCCCGCGCCGTCGGCTACTGTGCACTTCCTGTCTGCATCGTCCTGCTGTGCAGCCGCCGCCACGCTGCCAAATCGGCCAATCACAGAGCGGGGTTGCTCATCGACACGTAGAGGGCGGCCGGTCTGTGATGTCACTTCCTGTGTGCCTTCAAACTAAAACTCAGCTCAGACGCTCAGATCCTAGCTCTGGCTGTCTGCCTTTCTCTTCTAGCAACATCACAGAGAACCCTATGCTCTGATTGGAAGTTGGATGAGAGGAAGCCTGGGACTGTTGCTATGGTTACTCTAAGAGAAGAGTCGACCAATCACAGAGCTGCATTGTACAAACATTTAATAACTTTACATTCTGGTGATCATGGCAATCTTGATACATCATCAATAAAAAAGATTTTGAAAAAAAGAAAAACATCAGGGTGCACAAGTGTGTCCTCTGGGCTTCCAGGTGTGTCCTCTGGTTTCCAGGTGTGTCCTCTGGGCTTCCAGGTGTGTCCTCTGGATTTCCAGGTGTGTCCTCTGGGTTTCCAGGTGTGTCCTCAGGTTTCCAGGTGTGTCCTCAGGTTTCCAGGTGTGTCCTCTGGGCTTCCAGGTGTGTCCTCTGGGCTTCCAGGTGTGTCAGGTGTGTCCTCTGGGCTTCCAGGTGTGTCCTCTGGTTTTCCAGGTGTGTCGGGTGTCCTCTGGGGTTTCAGGTCTTTGATCTTTTAGGTGGCGGCTGGACCTCAGAGTTCAGCGTCCCGTCTTCTTCATCACTGTCTTCATCACTGTCTTCATCAAGCTCATCTGCAAAGGAAAGAGTTTCTCTTAAGTGGAACTTCAGGTACATTTATGTCAACCGTAACCACGGTAACCAGGTTATCTGCTACGGTCACCAACCGCTGCTTTGCCTCATTCAGCCTGTTTTTCCTGTCGTTCTGCTGTCGGGGGGGCAGCTGCGGATTCAGACCAGCTCAGGAACTGCCCGGTGTCTTTGGTAACACGGTCAGAGTTCACCTGTTTACCTGACCCACCACAGTTCACCTGACAGTTCACCTGACCCACCACAGTTCACCTGACCCCCCACAGTTCACCTGACCCACCACAGTTCACCTGACAGTTCACCTGACCCACCACAGTTCACCTGACCCACCTGACCCACCACAGTTCACCTGACCCACCACAGTTCACCTGACCCACCTGACCCACCACAGTTCACCTGACCCCCCACAGTTCACCTGACCCACCACAGTTCACCTGACAGTTCACCTGACCCACCACAGTTCACCTGACCCACCAGGGTTCACCTGACCCACCACGGTTCACCTGACCCACACAGTTCACCTGACCCACCAGAGTTTACTAGAGTTTCGGGGGTTTCAGGGTCTCCTACAACTGCTTTTCCTTTTCCCCTGCTCTTCCTCTCCTGGAACCAACAACCCAGATTCTTACCTGGACTTCTTATGGAAGAGGAATCCCGTGTTTAGGACTGGTCACCGTGTTATGATAGGAGCAGTCCCCCCCCCCCTCACCTGCTGCGCAGCCTCCTCGCGCAGCCTCGCGCGCCACCAGATCGCTCAGGAGCTGCGAGGCTTTCTTGTTCAGGTCGTTGACTCCGTCCCTTACGGACTTCAGGCTGATTTCCACCGGGACGCTGAGGCTCCGCTTCTGCCCGTCCCGCAGCCTCAGCTCGGCACGGAGCTCCGCGGCCGCCATGTTTACGACTGCCGCTTCTTCTTCTTCTTTTCTATTATGGCGGATCACAAGCCACTTTAAGGTGCATACTGCCACCTACTGTACATGAGTGTGTAGCAGCGTTACTTCACATCTATTAGATTCTATTTTTTTATTTTGTATTTTTAAAGTAGATAAACAATGCTTTCCTTAATTTATGAATATCTGTTATGTTTCCTTCATTTCCTAATATACCTTTAAGATTCCATTCATGCCCTATACTTCTAACTATTTTCTTTAATTCTTCCCCTTCGAGTTCATATGACTTACAGTTCATCAGTATATGTTTTCTTTTTCTCCACATCTCTCACATTTATCACTATTTTTCCTCCCTGTTAAATAAAGCATGTCATTTAAGTAGGTATGACCTATTCTTAATCTACTAATTATCATTTCTTCTTTTCTGTTTCTTTCCTTAATGCTTCGAATTTGAACCGACTTTTCCACTTCATATAATCTTCTTCCTTTTTTATCTTCATTCCATATTTTTTGCCATTCCTCCATTTTTTACTTTTAATAAGTGATTTCCCTTCCCCTTTCCCAAAAGGAATTGAAATTGTTATTTTACGACTGCCGCTGACGTCACTGCGCTGCCTTCAGGTGCAGCACGTAAATACGGCAAGTGGAGTTGGAGACACATTTTAAAACAATAAATCCCATATCTACACGGAGACGTTAACAATTAGTTGTTACAATTTGTGTATTTCTGTGAGTATTTCATGCATTTGATTGGCGTGATCATATAACTCAGTTTTCTGCTTAGTCCGTACGTATCTGATAGGATTCACACGGGATGACCTCTAACCCCACAAAACCGCCAAATACGAGCTGAGAACGTAACCCGGAAGTTGTTATTAGCAGACGCTTTGAAAACAAAGACTGACCCGCTGATTATTGATGACTATCGACCCGCGGATTTATTTGAGTCCGGTCGGGTCGCGTGCGTGAATTGACCGGCTAAGCCCCGTCCTCTCCGGTAAGTTGATCCCCCGCAGACCGTTAGCGTTAGCTCTGCGGCTAGCTTAGGCTAACAGTCTAGCTTAGGCTAGCAGGGTAGCTTAGGCTAACAGGCTAGCTTAGGCTGACAGGCTAGCTTAGGCTGACAGGGTCCGGTTCTGCCGGCCCGGGTGGGTCCGGGTCCGGTAACCGGTACCGTGCCGAGCGGGTCCCGGGTTAAAGCCACCGGCCGTGTGTGACGTCAGAGGGCAGCCGGTGGGTTAGGGTTAGGGTGAGGGTTAGGGTTAGGGTTAGGATTAGGGTTAGGGTGAGTGACGTGTTTGTTTGTTTGTGGATCAGAACATGAGTGAGGAGCAGACGGTGTCTCTGGTGGACGTCCTGCAGGAGGACCAGGAGCTGGAGGAGGAGGCCTCCGCTGTTTTAGCCGGGAGCGACTCCGACCACTGCTCCTACCCAGAGGTAGGTTTAGGGGTACGGTATAGGGGTACAGGGGTACAGTACAGGGGTACAGGGGTATAGGGGTATAGGGGTACAGTACAGGGGTCCGGGGGTACAGGGTACAGGGGGTCCGACCACTGCTCCTACCCAGAGGTAGGTACGGGGGTACGGTATAGGGGTACGGGGGTACAGTACAGGGGTACGGGGGTACAGGGGTACGGGGGTACGGGGGTACGGGGGTATAGGGGTACAGGGGTACGGGGGTATAGGGGTACAGGGGTACGGGGGTACAGGGGTACAGGGGTACGGGGGTACGGGGGTATAGGGGTACGGTATAGGGGTACAGGGGTACAGTACAGGGGTATAGGGGTATAGGGGTACAGGGGTATAGGGGTATAGGGGCTCCGACCACTGCTCCTACCCGCAGGTAGGGTATAGGGGTACGGTATAGGGGTACAGGGGTACAGTATAGGGGTACAGGGGT